CCCCAAAACCCCAAAACCCCAAAACCCCAAATAGGTCAGGTTATATAGGATTATGTATTAATTAATGAAAATGGAACCAGATCTCAGTAGATTTGATGTTGATGAAGATTTTGATTGGAGGGAAGATGGAATTGTAAGCGAAGATCATTTAGATACCTCAGAATTTGGAGATGACTTTCCTAGGAGACACAATAGGCATAATTTATCATCATTATCTCTGATGGTTAGTGATACTGATGATGAAGAACTAAAAGTTGCTGATGGTGAGAGGTAATGTCTAAATATGTAGAGATAGAAGAAACCCCAACTGAGTCACACCAACGTATAATCAATGAAATACTCAATTCCACCACTCATATTGAAGATTTGAGAATTAAAGAACAGAAAGAGGAAGAAAAGAAGGTAAAATTGTTTATTAAGAAGGCTATTTGACAATTAGTATATTTTAAAACTTTAACTTATAATTGACTTTACAAATTACAGCAAAAGAATAAATCCTTCAAGGAGATGAAAAAATACCATAAAGAAGAGCAGAAAGAGCCAGTAGAAGCAGAAAATGAAACTCTGGATTGCACAATTTGACTATCCAGTGACTCTCAAACCTTGATGATCTGAAGGTTCTGAGGAAATAATGCATGCAATCCATGTTGGGAAAAGGCTTTCAGACAAAAGTCAGAATGATTTTTCTGCAGAAAGAGGATTCATAAACAAGATTTAGTCAAAAATCTTATGGTCGAACAGATCAGACATCAACAGCAAATTCTTGCTTTTCAAAATAACAATAAACTTACTAAGAAATGTCCAAACCATGATAAACCAGGCAAGCTATTCTGAGAGACCTGCTCGTGTTTCTTCTGTTTGCAGTGCATTAAAGAGTCTGTACACTCTGATCATGAAGTTTGAGATGTTGAAGAAAACCCTGAGATCAAAGCTAAAATATTAGAGTCCAATAAGTATTGAAAGGAGCTAGAAAAAGGAAGAAACCTGCTTCAAATATCAATAAAAGAGCATTCAGAGCTTATAGATATCAGTCAGAACTTTCTGGATATTTATGTCCAAGAGTTCAAAGACAAAATCTTCAAGAAAATTGATGAAGATACTATGGATTTGAGAGATAAATTTTTATTAGAAAAATCACTCAACGCCCAAGCTCAAGTAGAGTTGGACAAATTTGATGACGTTGTAAAAGGGTTGGAAACACTAAGCCTCAGAACCATTGATGTAAAAAAGCTCAGAATGAATATTAACAAGCAAGTTAAAAAAGACGAAACGCCAAATGTCAAAGCTTTGATAAACACTAAAGGTAACTGACCCCTCTTTTCTTTATAAGGCATTATTAGAGATTAACCCTCAACATTCTTAATTTTCATAGATCTGAAATTATGAAAGAACTCGATCCAGGAGAGATACTTATTAGGCTGCGACTCCACAAACCACACAAAGTTCACTGAATATATGAAGAAGACTCTGGAAGAAGGCATCCGCCAATTTGTCTAAATTCAATCTAAGATCATTTGTGCGGGGTTTTGGGGTTTTGGGGTTTTGGGG